AATCAGGAACGAGGCAAGGCTGTCCGCTCTCCCCATATTTATTCAATATAGTACTTGAAGTTCTAGCCAGAGCAATAAGACAACATAAGGAGATTAAGGGGATACAAATTGGAAAGGAAGAAGTCAAGCTTTCCCTATTTGCAGATGACATGATAGTATACTTGAGCGACCCCAAAGATTCCACCAAGGAACTGATACAGCTTATAAACACCTTCAGCAACATAGCAGGATACAAGATCAACTCAAAAAAATCAGTAGCCCTCCTATATACAATGGACAAAGAAGTGGAGAAGGAAATCAGAGATACATCACCCTTTACTATAGCCACAAATGACATAAAATACCTTGGGGTAACACTAACCAAGCAAGTAAAGGACCTATATGACAAGAACTTTAAGTCCCTGAAAAAAGAAATTGAAGAAGATGTCAGAAAATGGAAAGATCTCCCATGCTCATGGATAGCCAGGACTAACATAGTAAAAATGGCAACCTTACCAAAAGCAATCTACAGATTCAATGCAATCCCCATCAAAATACCAATGCAATTCTTCACAGACCTGGAAAGAATAATACTCAACTTCATATGGAAAAACAAAAAACCCAGGATAGCCAAAAGAATCCTGTACAATAACACAACCTCTGGAGGCATCACGATCCCTGACTTCAAGCTCTACTATAGAGCTACAGTAATAAAAACAGCTTGGTACTGCCATAAAAACTGACATGTGGACCAATGAAATCGAATTGAAGACCCTGACATTAATCTGCACACCTATGAACATATACTTTTTGACAAAGAAGCCAAAAGTGTACAATGGAAAAAAGAAAGCATCTTCAACAAATGGTGTTGGCATAACTGGATATCAACATGTAGAAGGTTGCAAATAGATCCATATCTATCACCGTGCACAAAACTTAAGTCCAAGTGGATCAAGGACCTCAACATAAATCCAGCTACTCTGAACCTGATAGAAGAGAAAGTAGGAAGTAGTCTTGAACGCATTGGCATAGGAGATCACTTCCTAAATAGAACACTAGTAGCACAAACACTGAGAGAAACAATCAATCAATGGGACCTCTTGAAACTGAGAAGCTTTTGTAGAGCAAAGGATATGGTCAACAAGGCAAAGCGACAGCCTACAGAATGGGAAAAGATCTTCACCAACCCCACATCTGACAGAGGACTGATATCCAGAATATATAAGGAACTCAAGAAATTAGACATCAAAATGCCCAACAGTCCAATTAAGAAATGGGCTATAGAACTAAACAGAGAATTCTCAACAGAGGAAACTCAAATGGCTGAAAGACATTTAAGGAATTGCTCAACATCCCTAATCATCAGGGAAATGCATATCAAAACAACTCTGAGATACCACCTTACGCCTGTCAGAATGGCTAAGATCGAAAACACTGAAGACACCTTATGCTGGACAGGATGTAGAGCTAGGGGAACTCTCCTCCACTGCTGGTGGGAATGCAAGCTTATACAACCACTTTGGAAATCAATATGGCGCTTTCTTAGAAAATTGGGAATCCATCTCCCCCAAGATCCAGCTATACCACTCTTGGGCATATACCCAAGGAATGCTCAATCATACCACAAGAGCACTTGTTCAGCTATGTTCATATCAGCATTGTTTGTAATAGCCAGAACATGGAACCAATCTAGATGCCCTTCAACTGAAAAATGGATAAACAAAATGTGGTATATATTCACAATGGAATACTACTCAGCAGAGAAAAACAATGACATCATGAGGTTTGTAGACAAATGGATGGATCTAGAAAAAAATCATCCTGAGTGAGGTAACCCAGACTCAGAAAGACAAACATGGTATGTGCTCACTCATAGGAGGATACTAGATGTGGAACAAGGATGACTGGACTGCTACTCACATCACCAGGGAGGCTGCCTGGAAAACAGGACCCCAAGAAAGACACGGTGATCACCCAACGACAGAGTAATGGAATGAGATCTACATGAACAGCCTGGTCATGAGTGGGGGTAGTGAAGGGCAAGGGTCGAGGGGAAGAGAGCTTGGGGGAGCGGGAGATCCCAGCTGGATCAACAACAGAGAGGGAGAACAAGGAATAGGAGACCATGGTAAATGAAGACCACATGAGAATAGGAAGAAGCAAAGTGCTAGAGAGGCCCACAGAAATCCACAAAGATACCCCCACAACAGACTGCTGGCAATGGTCGAGAGACAGCCCGAACTGACCTACTCTGGTAATGGGATGGCCAAACACCCTAATTGCCATGCTAGAAACCTCATCCAACTACTGAGGGATCCGGATGCAGAGATCCATGACTAGGCCCCGGGTGGATCTCTGGGAGTCCAGTTAGTGACAAAGAGGAGGGTTTATATGAGTGAGAATTGTTGAGACCAAGGTTGGATAAAGCACAGGGACAAATAGCCAAACGAATGGAAACACATGAACTATGAACCAATGGCTGAGGGGTCCCCAACTGGATCAGGCCCTCTGAATGGGTGAGACAGTTGATTGGCTTGATCTGTTTGGGAGGCATCCAGGCAGTGGGACCGGGTCCTGTGCTCATTGCATGAGTTGGCTGTTTGAAACCTGGGGCCTATGCAGGATCGCTTGGCTCGGTCTGGGAGGAGGGGACTGGACCTACCTGGACTGAGTCTACCAGGTTGATCTCAGTCCGCGGGGGAGGAGTGGGGGAGGCTTTGCCCTGGAGGAGGTGGGAATGGGGGGTGGGCTGGGGGGAAGGTGAGGGGGCGGGAGGGGGGGAGAACAAGGGAATCCGTGGCTGATAATGTAGAACTGAATTGTATTGCAAAATAAAAATAAATTAAAAAAAAAACTCTGATGTTCTGTATGACTGACTGAACCATGACAATTGCACGTACATAAACAAATGTTTCCTATGGATACAAGCTATTAAGATGATTTTTAAATTGATGTACAGCAGAAGCAGAGACAGTTATATGTAGGTGCAGGAATTAAACATATAAGAAAGGAATAACTGGTGACGTTCTCAAGGAACACTTTGTCAGGTTTATCATAGTTACATACAAAAGAAGAAACTTCTTTGATGTAAGACTATTCAGAAAACTTTTTAATAGTTGTACCCTGAGTGGCCTCCTTTTGGGCTTTATTTGCACACTCACACATCTAGCCAATCAGGACTCAGCTGAGAGCACTACAATTTTGGATGTTCCATAGCTTCAAGGTAGAAAATGAGAAAAGATTCACAGTTGAGGAAGAAAGAAGCCACCTGGTTAGCTAGCCAGACTTCTCTAGCCTCCAGGTCTCAAACAGCAGCTGCAGGCAGAAGAGTTCATTTCCTCCTTAGGGGGTCTGGATAACTGTTCCTGCCATTCCTGTTGATGAACTGCAACTTGTTCTGCCACCCCAAAGCCCAAAACACACAGGGCTCTAATGTCTGCAACCTCTGAGCTAGGTATCCCAAAGCCTGTGCTGAGGACTTATATGTAACTGGATTACTTGCTACTAAGAGATATGAGATGTGGTTGTTAAGATATAAGATATGCTCATGATTAAATGCTTCATTCATTGTGAGTCACCTCTCATGCACACTCCTCCTGAAAGTAGCCAACTCAACAAACTGATTGGTTATCCAAGCTAAAACAAAACAAACCCTTAACTAAAAGAAAAATGACCCTAATAATTGAATAAAACTCACAGTTTCAATACTAGAGTGTTAATTATTCCTGAAACACAGTGTGTGGAGTTCTTTTCACATGCGAAAAATATATACAAGCAATCTAATCACAAAGCATGGTTTAGCTGTTATGGATACATAGAGCAAGAACTGCCTGGAGAAAGGCATTTCAAGTAATGTCATCCCACAAAATATGAGAAAAATAGAAAGCCTAAACTTAATTTCTCCCAAAACGTGTATCATTACTACTAGTACACATCAAGAAACAAATAATAACAAGAAAAGTAACATCTCATTCTTATGCTCTATGTATTATCAACTAGAAATGCCAAATTAGGTCAAAGTCTCTGGGCAAAGTGGCACAATACGAGCATTGCATACAATTCTCTGACAACAGTGTCCTCACTGGCATACTAAGTAGAACAGCTGTGCACACACCAAGATACCTTTCGGGAAGGAAAGGAAACCTGCTTTATTATACACCTAAGAAATAAAAGCAGAGAGAAACTGAGGGAAGGAAGAAAATTAATGGCATAAGGATGTTGGAGGTGGGGAGAAAAAACAGAGTATAAGATGAATATGGTCTATGTGTATCATGAACTTACAATAATTTGTCTTTATGAGAGTCTGCACTATGTACAATGAATAGATATCAATAAAGTATTTTAAAATTTAAAAAGAACCAGAAAAGTTTTTTTTTTTTTTTAAAAAAAAGCATCATTGACAAAGACTGAAATGAAGGAGCTTCTATAACTTCTCAATCCACTCCAAGAAGTTGATGTTGGAGAGAAGTTTCTTTTTGTGGGGAGAGAAAGTGAATAAAATCCAGGTTGCACATGTGAAAGTGAGGGTAATGCTTATCTCAGTGAGGTGTGTCACTAATAATCAGAGGCCCTGCACACAAGCCAGAGCTCAAAGATGGGATTTTAAGCTCTCACATGGCATCAGGTGGACGTTGGTAGCAGTGGGGAAGACTCATGCTTCATCCTTCATCACTGTTATATGTGATGTGAACTTGGATTACTCACATCTCTTCCTGAGACTATGCCAGTCCCTAGGTCTATGAGACTCAAACATGATCCAACTTAATTTAAGCCATGGTGGCTGAGTGACTATTTCCACTATCCATCTCCATCTTTGGGCAACTGTTGCCTGGTCTATGTTCATAGATACATTCTCGAACTACCCTGACAACAGGCAGAGATAGGCATCCCAGAGGGATGAACTCATGTTTTGGCCTCCACTATTGTCTGCCAGCTGGAATAGTAACCTCAGTGTCACGCTGAAACTATGAAGATTCTTGATGATGTGAGAGTCACATGGGATGTAGCATCTCTCAGCCAGGATAGTCAACACTAACCCAATCTCTAGCATTATAGTGTTAAATAGGACTCCATTTTCTGGTAGAAGGATAGGGTACTAAGGTTAGGTCATTGCCCTAAAAAACTTAATGATAGGCTATTGAAATATAACACTGTGTAGATGCTAAGGGTTCTAATCCCCAGGACTGTCTACAGAAAGAGCCTCTGAAACAGTTACAAGACCAGAGAAAGACACAGGGCTACACTATTAGATTTTTATTCAAACTAACATCATCTGCGGTTAGTTGTTACATGCTTGGGCCATAAGTTCACCTCATCAGTAAGTAGATCTTGGTATCATGGGCCTTGGTGCTTCTCCAGAGCATTAGTAGTCTTGACAGGTTGTGTGGTCCACATTTGACAATGTTTTGTTGCACTTGTAGCCACAGGCATAGTATAGAAGAATGAAATCCATTCATTCACAATGATTCAGCCCAGAGACACGCTGAATAACACAGAGGCTAACCACAGATCAATGACTGATGAAGCAGATGGGCCTATCATAGAGCACAAGAAGAAGCTTAATAGTAAGACACCACTCCCTAGGTACTCATCTGACTCATTATTATAACACGCCAACTAATTATACTTTTATGTGGGAAGGGGCAATAACACAAACCCAGCAGATACCTATTAAACCAGGAACTGGACATCATCCTGTGCTGAGACAGTGAAACTGATTAATTGTAGAGAAAAAAAGAAAGTCAGTGTGCTGTGAATTTCTGTAAAGACATTCACAAACAAAGCCAGAACAGGTTCAAAGCACAGAGACTGAGGCAGCATGAACAGGGCCTGCACAGGTCTGAATCATGTCTTTTCTCTCTCTCTCTCTCTCTCTCCCTCTTTATATATATATATATATATATATATATATATATATATATATATATATATATATATATTATAGCTTCCAGTTTAGCATTTTTATGGGATTCCTGAGTGTGTGAATGGGGGGAGGGGTCTCTGTTTCTTGTGCCTTCTCTTGGGCCCTTCCTTCTGTTTGCTTTTTTTTGTCCAGTTCCAATGTGTTATTTTTTATATTATATGTTAGTATTATCCCTTAGAAGCCTGTTTTCTAATGAGAGATAGAAAAGAGTAGATGCTGATGAGCCAGAAGGTGGGGAGGAACTAGGAGGAGTAGAGGGAGGGGAGATTGTAATCAAGATAGATCATGTGAGAAAAAAATCTATTTTCAATACAAGGGAAAAAAACATAAAAAATGAGAATCTACTACCATCACTTTGCTAGACCAGAATAATTACTACTATCTAAATCTTATTCTTATACCCACAATTAAGTGTAGTTTCATCAAAAAAGCAAATGCAGACCATTACAGAAAACCACAACTGGACTCAATGCATAGGTCAACGGATTGTGGGGAGCAAAGCCCCAATAGATACATTTACAAAACAGCTCCTGCATCTATGGTTCAGAAAACATTGCAGAAGAGGGAGGCAGAAAGATTGTAAGAGCCAGAATACCAGGAGTCTTCCGTATAATGGACTCTTATAGAAATGGCTGCATAAACAGATTTGAATAAGGGAAATATTAATAGACATACTAATGTAAAGGGGTAAAATATACTGAGACTAAACCTACAGACAAGGAATTACAGGCAACTGATGGCTTCTGAGAGAGGGTGAGTTATCTTGTCCCAGAGATGAGCCTTAATTGCCTGTCCAATACAAAATGGACAACCTTAATTGGTTGTCTAATACAAAGTGGTCAGACTTGAAACCATATACACAAACAATACAAATGGACTCAGAAGGTTGTATTTATATATTTGTGCATAAACACATGCACAAATACAAAGATAATCCAGGAAAATTATGCTATCAGTTTGAAAGTGGCAGAAGGACATGGAAGAAGTTGGAGTGAGGTGACTTGGGAGGGGGTAAAGGAAGGAAAGGGAAGGGAGAAATTGATATAATTATATTTTTTAAAGTAACTATTACATAGCCCATCAAATAAAGGCCAAGCTGGATATTTTCATGCTAATTTCTGCAAAACACTTGAAGAATTATTATCAATATTTAAAACTATTCCAAAAATTCTGAAGATCCTATGAGGCAAGTGTTTCCCAGATATCATAACCATATAAAAATACAACAAAGAAAACAAGCATAGTCCAAATATCTGATGAACTTAGATATAAAAATCTTCAACAAAATATCAAATCCAGTAGTACCATAAAAAATTATGTACCATGATCACTCCAGAGATGTCTCAGAGATACAAAGATGGCTCAACAAATGCAAAAAAAAAATAAGTTCACATGGTAAAATACATCAGAAGAATGAAAGGAAAAATTATTGTCTATGATTATCTCAATAAATACAGAAACCTCATTTGACAAGCTCAATATCACATGAAGGTAAAAATACTAAATAAACTTTGCATAACAGAAAGATACCTCAACATGATAAGAATTACACATATTAAACCAACAGATAACATCATAGTGGACTTTGGAAAGTTTAGAGCTTTCTCTCTAAAATCTGGAGCAAGATGCCTGGGGACTGGAGAGATGGCTACATAGTTAAGTGTACTTCTCTTGCAGAGGTCTGGAGTTTGGTTCCTAGCCTGAAGTCAGTTCCACAGCAGTCTATAACTCTAGCTCCAGGAACTCTACTGACCTCTACTAGCCTTCATGAGCACTTGTACTCACATGTACATACCCACAAAACAGAATTTTACAAAGATAAGGATGCCCTCCTCCTCACTTTTTCAACCTAGCTCTCAAATCTTAGCCACAACAATAAGAAAGGAAATAGAAATAAAGGAAATTACTGTCAGTTATCTTTCCATTACTTTAACAAATATGTGATCTACTTCAACTTATATGAGGAAAATTGCTTTGACTTACAGTTGAGGAGGTATCCATCAATGGTCACTTGACTTCATCATCTTTCAGTCTGTGATGAAGCAGTACGTTTTATGTAGAGCACATGAATAGTAGAGTAGGCCAATTAACACCTTGATGGACAAGCAAAGAGAGAGAGAAAAGAGGAAACAACAGTTTCATATCTTCCTGTCCCCAACAATATAATTTCCTTCCAGTAGACATTATTGCTTAAAGCTTTACCACCTGAGTGTCACAGGCTGGTGACAAGCCTTTAACTTATGGGACATTGGGGAAACAGATCAGATTCAAATAATAGTAGCAGCCTAGTTGGTAAGAAAAAAACCTAAAATTATGATTATTTGCAGGTGACGTGATGTTAAACATATAGAACTCCAAAGATGCCACCCCAAACCTTTAAAACTAGCAGATAAAGCACAGGGACAAATAGCCAAATGAATGGAAACACATGAACTATGAACCAATGGCTGAGGGGTCCCCACTGGATCAGGCCCTCTGAATGGATGAGACAGTTGATTGGCTTGATCTGTTTGGGAGGCATCCAGGCAGTGGGACCAGATCTTGTGCTCATTGCATGAGTTGGCTGTTTGAAACCTGGGGCCTATGCAGGATTGTTTGGCTCGGCCTGGGAGGGGACTAGACCTACCTGGACTGAGTCTACCAGGTTGACCTCAGTCTGTGGGGAAGGCTTTGCCCTGGAGGAGATGGGAATGGGGGGGGGGGCTTGGGGGGAAGGTGAGGGGGACGGGAGGGGGGAGAACAAGGGAATCCGTGGCTGATATGTAGAACTGAATTGTATTGCAAAATAAATTAATAAAAAAAAACTAGCAAATGAATTTAGTAAAGTTTCTTGATAAAAACCAATATACAAAAAAGAATGCTGTTCCTATACGCTAATAGCAAATCATCTGATAAAGAAGTCAGGAAAGCAATCACATTTATAAAACCTACAATAAGAAATGAGAAATAAATATAATCAAAGAAGAGGAAGAGAGATCCACAAAGAAAACAAAAAATTAATGAAAGAACTAAAATTAATATGAAAATGAAAAGATGCCTTGTGCTCTTGGATTAAAGAATAAATGTTGTAAAATTGCCCCAACTATTCAAAGAAACCTACTGATTCAGTGAAGTCCCTTATAAAGTACAATTGTAACTCTTCATAGAACCAGAAATAATTCCAAATTTTTGTTGGAAATGAAAAAAAATGTTCAAATAACCAAAATAATCTTAACCAAATAGAAAAACATAGGCTAAACTACAATATTTGAATTGAAAATACAATACAAAGCTATAATAATAAAGGCAATGCAGTACAGATAGAGCCACAGTGCTGAATGCTGTAGCTCCTGGCTTTTATCTCAGCACTCAGGAAGCTGAGAAAAGAAAACAATGACATTTAGGCCAGTCTTGGCTCACAAGTGAGTTCCCAGCCAGTGTGGACTATATAGTGAGACCACATTATCTCAAAACATAAACAACAAATCCAAATCAAAAGGGGAAAAATAAAAACACTGTACAGAGTAAAGAAACAGAATAGAGAAGAGAGAAGTAAATCCACAAACCTACAAAATTGAGGTTTTAAAATAGTTTTTTTTAAATATTGAAGGTGCTGGGAATATTCACATTTGAAAAGATGAAATTAAACTCCTGCATCAACATTTGTAAAAATCAATGGAATGTGGATTAAAGACAAGAATAAGACCTAATTTTTCTTGTATATTATGGCTTCTGATTTTGTGTTTTTATGGGATTTAGGTTTTTCTGTTTATGTATGTCTCTCTGTGTGTATTTCTTGTGCTTTTTATTTATTTCATATTCTGGTTTGTTGTTTCGTGTGTTGGTTTTGTTTGCCTGTTTTCTAAAGAGAGAATGGCCTGTAATTAGGTAGGTCGAGAGGGGAGAAGGGTCTGGAAGGAGTTGGAAACTTCATTTCGGTGAGGCCGTCTGGCTAGCTATCTCTTAGGATCTGAGTCACTCATCTCCTCACTGCTGCAGCTACAGGCATCTGGAAGTCAGTCTAGCCTTTTATGTGAGTACTGGTGATTCAAATTCAGGTCCTCGGGTTTTACAGCACTAAAGGATATTTCTTTGTTGATATTTATCTTTCATATTGAGTTAAAGACTATATTTACTCTCGTTTATATCAACTGGTCCTAGCTCTTATAGTTATTTAATAAAGTTGCTTATTGATGGTATTTATCATGTCCCTATTGAACATTCTTTGAAGCTGTTTCCCAATACCTAACCTGTAAAGCCATATGAATTGTGGAAAATCTAGGAAAAAAATCAGGTCTCTTAGTTTACTTTATTATTCTTTATGTCTTCCATCTTCTGACTTTTAATATATGTTATATGGAAATACAGAACAGTTTTGGTACCTGATCAAAAAGGCTCAATTTTCTGCCTAAGCAGGGAGTATCTACAGTTCTCTTAAAAAAAAAAGACTCTTGACTCAAACAAGTTACCCTCATCCCCACCTTTCCCTATTGCATCTCACTAAAATCCCTTGTACTCCAAGGACCACACAATTTCAAAAAATTCCTGACCAATGTCAACTAGGTTATTTTTTTCCCTTTAGAATGAGTTATTTATCTTATTTCAACTATTCATCATTTACAACATTTAGCATAGAGATTGCCACTGCACAATAGAGACCAAAGATACTTAGAGTTGCTTCACCACTGAGATAAAGAGTTATGAGGCTCTACAGATCTGAAAATCAGGTTCCTAAATGGGAACGAATCATAAGTGTAGCTAGAGTTTTCCTGGCTGGCCCACAGTCAGGACAAATCTCTCTCACCTGCCAGTCCCACAGCTGCTCAAACCCAACCAAGTAAACACAGAGACTTATATTGCTTACAAACTGTTTGGCCTAATGGCTCAGGCTTCTAGCTATCTAGTTCTTACATCTTAAATTAATCCATTTCTATAAATCTATACCTTGCCACGTGGTTTGTGGATTACCAGCATCTTCACATGCTGCTTGTCATGGCGGCGGCTGGCAGTGTCTCCTTCCTCTGTCTTCCACTTCCCAGAATTCTCTTCTCTCCTTGTCCTGCCTATACTTCCTGCCTGACCACTGGCCAATCAGTGTTTTATTTATTGACCAATCAGAGCACACATTTGACATACAGACCATCCCATATGCTTTACATAAGCATGCAAAGTTATACTGATTAATTCCCTTGGTACTCTCTGCTATTCATATCTGCTAGCTAATTCTCACTTTCTTATTGAGTGTATACAATGATATACATACACCACAGTTATCATTTATGGAGCCCAGTATGCTATGCAGTTTACTTATATAATAACATGATTCAAATTAATTCTTCATTTTTCTCCTCTAAGGCAAGTTATAGTTTTCTCATTTTACTAATGGAAACTAATATTCAGAAAGATAAAATAACTTTCCCAAGGTAGGATACCCAATAAAGTCAAAGAATCAAGATTCATCTGTTTTCAGATCTCAGAATTTTATTGCCATCCACTCTGTCACATATAGAATTTTATAGGTATTGTGTGAACTGCAGGGATAAAAACTGATGAATACATATTCTTTAGGAAAATGGTATAATCATAATTAGGTACCACTTTCTGATTCTGCTGTACCTCAGGATTAGAAGAGACATTTTCAAGAACAAAGTAGCAGGGAATCCATATCTCAGCAGAGCAGCTGGATTGAAGCAACAGAGTTAGAAAAGCAACCAAGGTAAGCTTGATTCTGGGTAAGGAAAGCTTAATTGGCTATAAAGACCCTATTCTTCAATGGTATATACCCAAATGACTAGAATTGTCTGTGGAAAGTACTGGGCATTCAACCAATACTTGTTAAATGACTGAATTTGATCCAACTTCATAAATAATAAATACTTCTAAGCAGTGCTAAGTAGTGAAATAATTCAGAGCCAAAGGATGGTAATTGTGGACCAGGTTTATTCCAGGAGAATTTCTAAGAAAGTTATTTTTTAATTGAAAATATTCTTCTCTCATATAATACATCCTAATCACAGTTTCCCCTTCCTCCACTCCTCCCAACTCCTTCCCACCTCCCCTCTCCCAAAAATTAACTCCCCCTCTATCTCCCTTCAGAAAAGAGCAGGCCTCCAAAGAGACAACAACCAAACACAACAATACAAGATAAGACAAGGCCAAAGCCCACACTTTGAGTCTTGAAAAGGCAACCCAACAGGAGGAAAAGAGTCCCAAAAGCAGGTAAAAGAGTCAGAGACACACCCATTCCCACTGCTAGGAGTCCCACAAAAACACCAAGCTACCAGCTACAACATATACATGGTGGGCCTAGTGTAGATCCCGTAGACCTTGTGCTTGCTGCTTCAGTCTCTGTGAGTCCACATGTGCCCAGGTAGTTGATTCAGTGGCCATGCTTTCCGGATGTCCTCCATCCCCTCTGACACCTACTCTACCCCTTTTTCTGTGGAACTCCAAAGGGAGGGCCCCAATGGAGACCTCCAATTTAGACCCTCTCCATATAATGTCTGGCTGTGTGTCTCTGCACCTGCTCCCATCTGCTGCCAGGGGAAGCCTTTCTGATAAAAAGGCATCAATCTATGAGTATAGAAGTGTAGCATTAGGAAATATTTCATTGCTGAGGACAACATCCACACAGATCATTGAGCATAGAGGGGTTGAGCTGGTGTCTGCATGGAGCCTTCACCCCTGTGTCTTAGTCTCTTTGGTGCTAGGAAACATTTTTAAGAACACTGAGAATACTAAACACAATGTACAGAAGACACCATTAAAGACAAGTTCTCTGGAAACAATCACTCCAAACTGATTTTTTGAAGAGATCTTTTTCTTTGTCAATTGTAATGATAAGTGTCTTTATCAAGAGCTAAATTTAAATATATACAGATCACTTCACTTATCAGAAATTAATCAATTAAGAGAGATAAAGCTAGGTTTATGGCTGTTAAGTTTCATCCCTGATTTCATCCTGATTTCTCAGGACTCAAAACAAGATACTATCTGATGCCCAAATAGTGTAGAGAAAAGAATAGTTCTTGAAATGTATTATACTCCATTTAGTAAGTAGGGACTTTGATTTTTGATTTATTACTGTACTTGTTTATATTCTCACTAATTTATAAGAGCTAATGAATTGCAATGAACTTCTTTATCATTTATTTAATTCACTTCATAACAAGGATTAAAGCAGATATTAAATAAGATAGTGGCAAGGTGACAATTACATTATGAAAAAATTCCATAAAATCTCAATTAATTCTAGTCTAATATTTTTTTCAGTTAGACAATTTTCCCCTCTGCACATATTTTTGTAGAAAGACTGTTATATTAAGCTTTCACCATAAGTTTATTAAAATAGCGAAAGTAACAAACCAAATTTTAGTGGAAATCCTGAAGTCAATATAGATTCAGCCACATATACTGGACCATGACCTCTGGTTTCCATAACAGTTTATATTATGACTTGATGGTATGATTTGGAGTTTGTATTCTAATGAAACAGAGTACTTCAAGAAGAACTAGTTAGCAGAATTTACAGACAAGAAAATTCGGGTATATGAAACTGAATATCATAAACTTTACTATACTTAAGGAACAGGTAGAGATGATAAATAATACTTAGTTATTCCTGTAAGGAAGGATACACAAGGAAGTGAAAAGTGAAGCAAAAATTCTAAGAATCTTAATGTCCAGTTAAAGTATGAAACCAGGTAGGTAGTAATTTTGAGCAAGTAATAGCCTAGAACAAATGTTTAGTCTCAGAGAAACTGCATTTCATGTAACCAAAAAATTACTTTAATGAGTGGAGTTCAATAATATATATGTGTATGTATATATGTAAATAATAATTTGTCTTTGGAGGAAGAGGCATGATATAGAGGACACATTTAAGGCTTAGAGTATACAATATTTCATTCTTTGTACCCTGATCAGTTGTGGGTCTCTTGTTAATTGCCATCTACTACAAATAAGCGCCTATCTGACTATGGTTGAGAGATACATTAATCTATGGGTATAGTGATTTGTCATTAGGAGTCAGTTTAAAACTATGTCCATTTAGCAAATAGTAGAGTAGGTTCTCCCCGAGGGCCATGACTTCTCAAGTCACTTGTTCTTGGCTCAGTAATGGTGCCAGGTATGGGTTTCATCTTGTGGAACGGGACTTAAACCCAATCAAAAAGACATTGGTTACTCTATTGATGTTCATGCCACGATTGCACCAGTGCACACATCTTGCTAGGGTGGTCATTATTGTAGTTCACAGGGTGCCCAACTGCTTAAGATTGATTATTACTTTTCTCCTCTGGTGGTGTTTATCTTGCAGCACTACAAAAACTAAAAAATAGGAATGAAACTCCCAGATTGGTACCAGCTTGATTTCTCCATGTTATATGAACAAGTTATAATGGTGTCTTCAGCAACAGGCTCCTAAAGTCAAGTTCTGGAGGTTAAACAAGAATATTAACAATAGCTTGTAATGTTTGGAGGTTTGTATAAGCTCAAAACAGACAATATCCTGGCATAGAGAGATGAAGTGGGCATGAAGTCACACACTTAAATGAAGAGATACTGGAAATTGCTTGCTTCTGAGAAGGTGAAAGTCACTTTTCTTTAAGACTGTGTCCCTCTGGTAAGTTAACCATGCTCTAGTGGATAACAACACACTAACAAGTATATGGGCAGTATAATTTGGAAGAGAGAGGTTAAAAAAATGAGGGCACACTGTTGGGTGGTAGAAAATGGAGAAAGGATCTAAGAAGAGTTAGGGGAGGAAGGTTTAAGACAATCAAAACACATTATATGATGTTCACAAAGAATTAATTTTAAAAGTTTGAAAAAACTAAAAATACATTCAGATGTAAAGCAAAACTTTACTTACCTAGGAAATTGGAAAAGGAGTCACATGATGATGAGTGAACATTTGAGAACAACTCTTAAGAGTTTCTATTCTGGGGCTGAAGAGATGGTTTAGTGGTTAAGAGCACTGGCTGCTCTTCCAGAGGACCTGGGTTCAGTTCCCAGCACCTACATGGCAGTTCCCAACTGTCTGTAACTCCAGTTCCAGGGGATCCAACACCCTCACACAGACATGCAGGCAGGCAAAACACCAATGCATATAAAGTAAAAATAAATAAATCTTTAAAAAAAAAGAGTTTCTATTCCTTTCATTCATCTTGAAATGGTATCTTTGGTAGGGTCCATACTGCTGTGATAAAACACCATACCCAAAAGCAACTTGGGGAGTAAAGGATTTACTCCATCTCACATGTCCCAATCATAGTCCATCTTGAAATAAAGCCAGGGCAGTAACTCAAGTCAGGAACCTAGAAGCAGGAACTGAAGCAGAGGCAGTGAAGGAACAGTTTGTTCTCCATGGCTTGTTCAACCTCCTTTTTACAGCATCCAGGACTACCATGGTGCTCAGGGATAGTAATACCCAGAGTAAGCTGAGACCTCCCACATCAATCAATCAAGGAAATTTCACTACACTCTTGCCTGTCGGTCAATCTGTGGGGGAATTTTCTCATTTGAGGTTTTTGCTTTTAAAATGACTCTAGCTTATGTCAAGTTAACATAAAACTAGCAGCACAATTGTTATCTTGTCAACTTAATAGACAAACACATAACTATTCAACTACAAACTTTCCGTTTTCATTTGTTCCCAAGATGGTAAATTACTATTAATATTATAATATAAAACCTTCAAACATTTGAAAATCTCAGACTTTACAAAGTAATACACTTTAAAAGTTCAACAATCTTTTTTTTAAAAGGGTTTTTTCCACTTTACATACCAACCACAGTTCCCCCCCTCCTGCTCACTCCCTACCTTCTCCCCACCCCACCCTCATCCACTCTTCAGAGAGGGTAAACCTTCCCATGGGGAGTAAACAAAGTCTGGCATATCAGGTTGAGGCAGGACCAACCCCTCCCCCATACTGAGGCTGATCAAGACATCCCCCTTGCCGGGCGGTGGTGGCACACGCCTTTAATCCCAGCACTCGGGAGGCAGAGCCAGGCGGATCTCTGTGAGTTCGAGGCCAGCCTGGGCTACCAAGTGAGTCCCAGGAAAGGCGCAAAGCTACACAGAGAAACCCTGTCTCGAAAAACCAAAAAAAAAAAGAAAAAAAAAAAGACATCCCTCCATAGGGAATGGGCTCCAAAAAGCCAGCTTATGCACTAGGGATAAATCCTGGTCCCACTGCCACTGCCCAAGTCAAACAACTGTCACCCACATTCAGAGGGCCTAGTTCAGTCCCATGCAGGTCCCCATCAGTCAGTCTAGAGTCAGTGAGCTCCCACTAGCTCAGGTCAGCTGTCTCTGTGGGTTTCCCCATCATTATCTTGACCCCTTTGCTCATATAATCCCTCCTACCTCTCTTCAGCTGGACACCAGGAGCTCCATCCAGTGTTTAGCTGTAGATCTCTGCATCTGCTTCCATCAGTTCCTGGATGAAGGGTCTATGATGACAATTAAGGTAGTCATCGATCTGATTACAGGGGAAGGCCCCAGTTCAGGCACCCTCTCCACCATTGCTAGGAGTCTTAGCTGGGGTCATTCTTGTGGGTTCCTGGGGATTTTTCTAGCACCAGGTTTCTCCCTAAACCCCATAATGGCTCCCTCTATCAAGATATCTCTTTCTTTGTTCTCCCTCTCTGCCCCTCCCCCAACTCGACCATCCTGTTTCCTCATATTCTCCTGCCACCTCCCCTTACCGCTTTCCCTTCACCCCTCACAATTTACTCAGGAGATTTTATCTATTTCCCCTTCCTAGGGGGATCCAGACATGTCTTTCTAAGGGTCCTCCTTGTTAGCTAGCTTCTCTGGGGTTGTGGACTGCAGCCTAGTTATCCTTTGCTTTATGTCTAATATCCACTTATGAGTGAGTACATACTGTGTTTGAAGCTCAACAATCTCTTTAAACCACCCAGCCTCTTTCAAAGTTCAAGCCTCTCTAAAATATCAAAAGTCTCTAAAATATTAAGTCTCTAAAACATTCATAGTCTCTCTAACATACCCAAAATTCCTTGAAAACTTCAAAGTGTGGGTTTCTGTAAAATAAAAATAAGTTAAATAGGTTCTTATTACAAGAGGAAAGAATGAGGGACAGTCACAATCAAAGCCAAGCAAAACCAAAGCCCAGCAGACTTCTGGGATTCACAAACAATGTTCCTGGCTCCTCCAAACGTCTTTGGCAGTCGTTTACATACAATGTGTCTAATAGGCCAGGGTCGCCTCTACTCTACAGAGGATGTTGTCCTTGGCAGGTGTGTCCCACGATAATGAAATTTCCAAAATGCTCAGGTTTCCATGTAACAAGGCTGCATCTTCACCTATAGCCTCTCCTGAGTTAGCATTCAGAGATTCTAACACTTCCACATTGTGCCAAGCCTCAACTTATCACCATTCATGACCCCTTCAATCCCAGGGTTTTCACTGCTACTGGAGCTACATTATTACCAATAGCCTGGCCTGACCTCTCCTGATGCCAAGCCTCGGCTCTCCTCCATGGCCCCATGCCTTCAAAACCAATACCACCTAGGATTCATATACTACCAGCAAGGGATGCAGCCTTGTCTGCCTCTGGATGACAGCTTCTTCTGAACCCATGGAAACACTTCTAGAAGATTTTGATTGCCTCAGAAAAGCAAAGATTTCACTTTAATGAATCTAATCCCTTGTTAATCACTGCTGATTCTTCACAGCTGACCAGAATTATATATTCTGCTAAAAGTATCAATGGCTCCAATAGAATCTTTAAGGGACTCTCAAAATTCCCTCTGAAAGTTTACAAGCCAGACCTCCACTGTCTTCACTGCTTTGAACATTCTTATTTCCAAAGCTTCCACAGAACACCATAGGGAATGGGGTCTAAAAAGTCAGTTTGTATACTTGATACAGAAGGGAGGGGCTAAGTCTAGCCCCAACATGGTATAACAGTCTGTGTTGACTACCCAAGGGAGGCCTTACTCTCTATGAGGAGAGGATGGGGATGAGATGGGGGTAGGTGGGGGGAGCGGAAGAAGAGGAGGGAGGGGGAATAGGTTGGTATTTAAAAAGAAAGAAATTTTTTTTCTAATAAAATTATAAAAAACAAACAAACAAACAAAAAAGCTTCCATAGAACAGCATACTGAGCTCTGAGCACTCGTTGGTTCGTCCAACACAAAGTTCCAAACTCAAGTCTTTTTATAATCCTCCCCAAACATGGTCAGATATGTCACTGAAATATCTCACTTCTGATACCAATTTTTACTTAGAGTTTGTAACATAGCAATAAAACACTGTGACCAAATGTAACTTGGGAGGAAAAGGTTTATTTCATCCCACATATCCTGATTACACTCCATGATGAAGGAAAGCTGTGGCCGTAACTCAAGTCAAGAACCAGGAACTGAGACAGAGACCATGAAGGAACATTGCTTAGCGGCTTGCTCAACATGGTGTGTTCAGCCTCCTCTTACAGCACTGCGGACAACCAGTCCAGTGGTGACAATATCCACAGTGATCTTGGCTCGCCCATATCAATCATTAGTCAAGGAACTGCACCACAGGTTTGCTCACAGGCCAATCTAGCAGGGTCATTTTCACAATTGAGGTCTTCCTCAATTCTAAAATGACTCTAGCTTGTGTCAAGTTTGCATAAAACTAGCTAGCATGGAGGGTACTTTTGTGTCAGGTTGGCTAGACTATGGTTAATGTTAATCTATGGGGTTTGTGTAGATATTATGTAGATATAACAATTCCCCCATTGGTTGTGTTTTGCTGGAGAGCCTTAATTGCTATCCTCAGTCAAGTTTTTTATCACTCTAAATTCAATTCACTGATATAGAAAAGAGAGTAATACAATTTATCTTAAAAAGATGCTGATAATATTTAAAAAATCAAGAATTAAAAATTAATATGTAATATTTCCCTTTCCTTTGGATACACCTCTGATACAGAAACCTTGGCCTCTTTCTTGTTCAGACATTAATTACCTAGTCCTTGCCAGTCTTTGAGAACTAGAATCATTTGTTCTGCATAATTAGAATCTCCCAAAATAATACTTGTGGATTTTGATACATATTGAATAGCATTTTATTTCATTTAAATATGTAAACAGGTACACTGTTGTCACATGCCTATAATTTCAGCTCTTGGGAGGCAGGGCAGGATGCTCTGAAGAGTTTGAAGTCATTCTGGGGTATATAATGAATTCAAGGATAGTCCAAGTTACATCGTGAAACCAGCTCTCAAAACAAAACAAATATAGTATTGTGGAGTATGTTTCATAAGGGAAGCACATGTATAGAGATATAAAATCCAGGAATGTGGTAAAAGTATTGAGAAAAGGCAAAAGAAAAGGTTTGAAATGAAGAATATGAAAAAATATGAGTTTAGAAAAATTAACTAAATATCAGATAGACATATGGTTATAAACTCATAGAAGCATACACTTATATATTCCAAATATATTAAACCTTAAAATAAAAAGCAATAGTAAAATAACCATGAAAATACTAAAAAAAAGTTAAAAGATTATGATAGAGGTTTAAGGTGCTATTTTGAAACATAAAATGCATAAGGAATAAAATCTTAATTGTGATGATAGCACAATGTAAAAGTGATTTGCAAAGAAGTATAAGTATCTAAGTTAAATCATGTAACTTGCAGGGAATAATGCTAATAAAGAATAATCAAAGAACTTCAGTTCTCTAATGCAGATGAGAACCAAGTTAAAAAAAAGTATATCATTTGCTCAGATACCTTATAGGAGCAGAAATATAAATGGTCAATAAATATATAAAGAAATGATCATGGTTTGGAGACATGGCTCAGCTGTTTAGAGTACTTGCTACTCTTTCATAAGATTGCGATTCACTTCCAAGCTTCCACATTGACTGGCCCACAACCACCTGAAACTCTAACTCCAGGGGATCAGCTACCTTCTGCTGGGCTCTGCTGGCTCACACACACACGCATACTAACAAAGAGACATGCATACATATACACAAATAAAAATAAATGAAAGAATGAAATAAAGAGATTATAAAGCAGAGAAGTAATCAGAAAAGAAAATAGCTATTGCCACTTACTATTTTCAAAAATGAAAATAATCTGTTTCTCAATGTTGGAGAAGAGTACAGAAAAAAACAATTCAGATAGCAACTTTGGTAATGAATAGTTATAAAGATTGTTTGCAACCAATGCAATTCACAATTTTTCAATTCTTTCTTGATAGAAAATTCAACTCTGCATTGACCAGAGCAGAAACATTTGCATCTTTGACACAGAGCAAATTCATCAATAGTCATCAATTGTTTATTCCTATATTCTTATCTGAGTATGCCTCAAAAGTTCTACTTTGCCTCAGTTAAGACTTACTCCAATGCAACAACTTATTACCTCAACTCATAAACGCTAATCATAACCAGTAAGAAAATTATTCTGAAACCAGCATGATTCAAAATAAAAGTCCATTCCAATTTACCAGAGTCTAAAACCTCCACCATCTAATAGGAGTCAAGGCTAAAGGCCAAAACAAACAATCAGTAAAAGATCAAAATATGCATTTTAGATATCTTATTTCTCTGAGTCATTCTGCACATTTCATCATAATTCAGCTATTTTAATACGGATTTTTCCATTCAAATCTTACAAATGTGTGAATTACCAATACTTCAACATTCTCTGTGAGTCATCTAGAACTTCCTGACAGTTACCAAAGCCTAATTATGCAATAGTCACTATTTCTAAAGAAAATGTTTAGAAAGGGATATAAATCAATATGCAAATAAGAGCTTCCGGTACTGGATCCTTCAAAGACACTTCAGTTTGAAAATAGATCCATATATAAAGATAATTCCCAAGAAATGCTGTGACTTTACTGACAAATTCTCTCAACCATTTAAATAGACATCACTGCTGTAGTTTGAATAAAAATGTCCTTCATAGGCTTAGATTTTTGAATCTTTGGTCCCCAGTCACTGACTCTGTTTGAGTAGATTTAGATTTGGCCTTGCTGGACAATTATGTCATTGAGGGTGAGGACAAGATTTGAGGTCAAAAGACCTGGGCCATTCCCAGTTTATTCTTTCTGCTCTCTGATTGCAGCTAAAATTTAAGCTCTCAGCTAAATTCACCAATTGACAGGTCTTCCTCCTGCAACACTTCCAAGCCGTGATGGTGACATATTTTTATACCTCTAAATAGTAATTCCAATAAACTCTTTTATAAATTGGTTAGGTCATGGTGCTTTACCATAACAATACTAAGTAGCCAGAGTAATCAGCAATATTTTCAATTTTTCCCAAATCATATGAAGATGAATGAATTATCCAAAGTTGACAAATCCAGCTTACCATGACTCCAAAAACAGTTGATGATATAAAATTGTTTAAAGATGATGGTCCAATGAATATAGGTATGAAAACCTTCAATGTAATTCTACCAAATAAAATCCAACAGCAGAACTATGTGTTGTAGACAAGTGGATATTTCCCCTGGGATGCAAGAGTGCTTCAACATAATCATATTAATAAACAGGAGATATCACATTCACAGAATGAGAGAGAAACATTACAAGATCATCTTAATTAATGTACAAAATAGAATATGTTAAAAATTCAATATCCTTTCATGATAAAAAGTACTTTAAAATTATAGGATGAATCTCAACTTAATAAAAGCAATATATGCCATATCCACAGGTAAAAAAATTTTCAGTATTAAATAGTGAAGCTCTTCCTCTAATATCAGAAACAAGACAAACTGTTCACCACTTTAACTAAACAGAATATTAGAATTCCTAAAGAGAGCAATTAGGTAATAAAATAATCATCTGCTTTAGAAAGGAAGAAATAAAACGGTCTTTGTAGGTAACATGGTTAGATTTTATAGAAAATCTTAAGTGTTCCATGGCAAAAATGTTAACATAAATGAATTAGGTAAAATGGCAAATTACAAAATTAACATAAAAGTCAGTTGCATTTCTATATAGTAACAATAACATCCAAAAACATATTAAGAAAACCATCACAATTTCATAATTAGAGGAAATAAAATAGGTTGAATTAAACTTAGCAAAAAAGATTAAAATATCTATGCATCGAAATGTATAAAGTTCTATAAAATTGAATGCACAAATACTTAGAAGTCTTCCTTGTGCATGATTGGAAAGAGGTGATATTATGAAAATATAGATTCTACCCAAAATAATTTGCAGATATAATGAAATTCCATTTGATGTTTTAATAGCACTTTTCTGAAACAAAAGAGAAAAAATCTTAACATTTATATATGACCACAAAAATACTTGAGGTAATCTTTAGAATCATCAGACTTCTTGATTTCATGTTATTAAGAAAGAGTTTTATCGGCTAGGGAAATGCTCATCAGTGAAAATTAAGCAATGCTCTTTCAGAGGAATCAAGTTCAGCACCTAGGACCCATGTTGTGTGGCTCAAGAGATCCAACCCCCTCTTTTGGCCTCTGTAGGCGCCTGCATTCACATTTACATACCTGCACACAGGAACATATACACAACTAAAAATAAATCTTGAAATGCTCTATATTTTCCATCATTAACGTCTTTCGTCTTTTTTAAGGTTTATTTCTAGATATTTTATTTTTAGCCTATTGTGATTCAAATTGTTTTTCTAATTTATTTCTCAGTAGGTTTCTTATTCTTTTATTTATAAAAATATTGAAAACAAGCCAGGCAGTGGTGGTGCATGCCTTTAATCCCAGTACTCAGGACCAGAGCCAGGCAGATCTCTGAGTTTGAGGCCAGCCTGTTCTACAGAGTGAGATCCAGGACAGACTCCAAAGTTCCACAGAGAAACCCTGTCTTGAAAAAACAAAAGCAAAAAACAAAAAAATTGAAAACATTCATTTTTATCCAAATTTTGTATTATTCTAATTTGTTAAAACTATGTATCAAAACTAAATATTTTCTTATGGTGTCTTTTGGTCTTTTTCAAAAATATTTTCTAATTAATTTATTTGTATTTAAAATTTTTTTCATATGATATATTTTGATCATAGTTCCCCTCCTTTAACTCCTCCCAGACTCTCTTCACCTCTCTTTCCACCCAACTTCATATTCTTCTCTCCCTCCATCTCTCTCTCAAAAGAAATCACATAAAAATCAAAACAACCAAACTAAAAATAAATAGCAAAACAAAAAGCACACATACACACACACACACACACACACACACACACACACACACACACACACACAAAGAAACAATACAGTTTGTTTTGTGCTGGCCAACTACTTCTGAGTAAGGGGCCTGGTTCAAATCAGATAAAATTCAAGCTCAGAGAAGGGAAAGTAGACACAAAGTCCCACCTTTAACCATGAAAGCTATTTGTGACTGATACCCGCTAGGAAATGTAAAATCACTTTTCTCCAATAGAGTAGAACTGGTATATCAACCACACTCCATAAAATATTTAATTTTATGTGCTTATTTTGCCTTGAATGTATGCATATGCACCATGTGTGTGCCTGGTGGTTTTGGAGGACAGAAGAGGGCACTGGATCCTCTGGAACTGAAGTTACAGATAGTTGTGAGCCTTCACTTCATGTGGATGCTGCGGAAAGAACCAAGGTCCCCTACAAGAGCAGTAAGTGTTCCTGACCACTGAGGCATCTCTCCAATCCCCTCTTTATGTCTTTTCCATATAGGATCACAATATCTGAAAATGTGGATAATTTTAACTCTTTTCTATTTATATCATCTTTATTTTGATTTCTTGACTTACTGACCTCTCCAAGAATTCAAGAACTAGTGTAAAAGTGTAGAGAACAAGTGCCTTTTTCCTTTTCCTGGTTGTAAAATAAATGCATTCAGTTTTTTCCAATTTAGTAATCTGATGGCCATGAGTTTGTCATATATGGTCATTATTATATTTGCAGTAGGGTCCTTCCATTCTTCACTTATTCATAGTTTCTCTCATGCAAATATATTGATTAAAATTTTAATCCAGCCACTATGGAAACCAGTGTTGAATTTCCTTAAAATATAAAAACAGAGTTCCTGTATTATCTAGCTATCCCACTCCACATATATATTGAAAGAAATCAAAGTCATTATAAAGTAGAGACACCTGCACATTTTAAAGGCCTATTCAACCCTACTCACTGTAGATAAGTTAAGAAACCAACCTAGAATAAAATGGGATATGTGTGTGAAAATAAAATGGGATATGTGTGTGAAAATGATCAACAAATACTATGCACATGCTGAAAATAAAGCTAAATACTTCGTACAATTAGTATATACTAATAAAATGTATAGGTATAAAACAATTCTCATATGAATCTACATTATCATGCCTTAATAATCATCTGTGATGCTTATTGTAAACCATCAGCTTGATAGAATCTAGACTCTCCTGGGAGACCAGCATCTAGGCATGCCTATGGAGATTATACTGATTGCATTGATTGAGGTCATTTGGTTGGTATCATAACTGTACTGAGAAAGGGAAGTGAGCAGCAGTGGTATGCATTCATCCCTCTCTGCTTCCTGAGTGTGGATACAATGGGACCAGAAAGCCTCCTGGTCTTGCCTCCATGCCATCCATGCCTATTGCCAAGTCTTCCCTGCTGCAATAGAAAAAAGAAAAGGGGAAGTGCTGTGGGATGGTCTGTATGTCAAATGGCTCTGATTGGTCAATAAATAAAACACTGATTGGCCAGTGGCCAGGCAGGAAGTATAGGCGGGACTAACAGGGAGGAGAATTAAGAGAACAGGAAGGTGGAGGGAGAGACACTGCCAGCCGCCACCATGACAAGTAGCATGTTAAGATGCCGATAACGCCGGGTGGTGGTGGTGCACGCCTTTAATCCCAGCACTCGGGAGGCAGAGCCAGGCGGATCTCTGTGAGTTCGAGGCCAGCCTGGGCTACCAAGTGAGTTCCAGGAAAGGCGCAAAGCTACACAGAGAAACCCTGTCTCGAAAAATCAAAAAAAAAAAAAAAAAAGATGCCGATAAGCCACGAGCCACGTGGCAAGGTATAGATTTATAGAAATGGATTAATTCAAGATATAAGAACAGTTAGCAAGAAGCCTGCCCCAGCCATACAGTTTGTAACCAATATAAGTCTCTGTGTTTACTTGGTTGGGTCTGAGCAGCTGTGGGACTGGCGGGTGTCAGAGATTTGTCCTGACTGTGGGCCAGGAAGGAAAACTCTAGCTACACAATAGACTCTATTTCTCTGGGGCTATGAGCCAAAATTGATTCTTTCACTCTAAGTTGCTTTGAGATAGGCATTTGATCACAGCAACGAGAAAATAACTAAGACAACATCCAAAGAAAACAAAATCAGCATCTTGAAGTGTTATGAATGCTACTCTGTTCAGTGAAGCATTATCCACTATAATCAAGATAAGTAAACATTCTAAGTATTAACCATAAGATGAATGGATAAAGAAAATTTTTAATTTGTTTGTTGTTATGTGTGTGTATGTGTTTGTGTCCATACCTATGAATGCTATTCGGTCTTTTAAAAGTCAGGAAATTCTGTCAATTGTGGCAACACAGATGAATTTGGAGATCATTATAGTAAGATAAGTAAACCATTCACAGAAGAGCATATGCTGCATCATTCCATTCATATGAACTATATAAAATAAACTCATGGAATCAGAAAGTAGACTCGTAGCTGCCAGAGACTAGTATTAAGGAAACAGTGTGATGGTAAAAATAGTTATATAAAGTGAAAAACTTTTAAATATTTACTGTACAATATTGAGCTTATAGTCAAGAATAATGAACCTACTATACATGTAAAAATTTTAACAGGGTCTATTAGTAATATTTTCATCACTGTGATAAATATTCCAATGCAGCTAACCTATCCTTCATTTTATAGAGTATTTACAGGCAAGTTCTGCATAAATATATTACTGGTATTGTTTTTGAATATGTTCTTTCCATGTTTGCATTAAAAATATATTATTTTTAATCAGGAAAATACATTACAAATTAGCAATGTTTCTTATAATCTTTTAAAAACTAATTTAAAATATTTCATGGACCTTATATTAGAAATATTTATTTTGGCTCCCTGTTTCTGTAAGAACAATCTCAATTATAAATGTTATTTTTCCTTGAATACAATGATATAATCATTGGGACATCCCCCATCAAGACAGCAATGCCTGTGGGTCAGTAAAGGACAATAGCACTTTGGATACAGTTTCAGGGAACAGCATCTGCTTTATTGCAGCAAGCGACCATTTATATAGTGGAAGCCTATCAACTGTGATTGGTTAGCACATTACCTCAGATTGGACAGTGAGAGCTCATATCACCACAGTCTCCATGCGGAAAATGCACATTAAAGGAGACTTTGTGGAGACTCCACTGCAAGCCAGCTATTGTCTACTCACGCTACTTCAGAATTCAGTGTTCTTGACTTCTGGTGCATGGTGTGACATGCTTCTTATTTAGAAGTGCAGGGTGACAAATAAGCTGACTGCCAGGTCATGCCTGCATTTTCTCCTACAATACAAGGCTAATATAATGTGCTAATTATATTATAGTCCCTTTTCTTCTCTTACCACTTTCTTTTAATGGAATATTGACTATGGTTACTAATAATAAAGAATAATTGAATGTATGTTTAGGAAAATACAAATAAAAATAATATTTTCTCTGACACAAATATGTACCTAGAAAATTAAACTACATCCAAAATTATTATAGGTAATATACAATGAATTCATTAGTTCTGAAATAATATCCACAAATATAAACTGAAACCATGTTTATAATGTATAAAATAGAGTGAATAACCTGAAATAATCTGAAAACACTCAGTCACAACAATTATTAGCAATACTAAATGTCTATGTATCAGTTAAATTTCTGACATAAAGAAAATTGAGACTTCAATGAGTACAATGTGGAATATTTAAATAAATGAGAATCTGTGCCTTCCTCATTGACAGAAAGACTGAATAAACATGAATACTCAAAAATTACTAATATACCCTATAAACCATATTTGGCAAATACTATTAATAGTATACCTGAATTGAAGATGACTGAACAGCAAAGTGAACTATCCAAAAGTGAATTCAAACTATTTTCATAATAACTAAAGCAGTTGTAAAAATATAAAGAATATATCAATGGGTAAATTAATAATTATTAAATGTTAAATTTGCTGGTTATATATATTAAAACATTTGTGTAAATAATTGAAATCCATACTTTATACCATACATTTAGAACGAATTACAAATTATAAAAAGTAGCTTTCTTAGAAATAAAGTTGTTTAAAGATAAAATTCAATCTGAATCATAAGCGGTCAGACTCTCAAAGGTAGGACCCAAGAATTAAAGATGTTCCCTGCACTAGAACAAAATAGAATCAATCAAAAGTAGGGAGGAAGAAATTTGGGCATGCAGAGCAATGCCTAGAACATACAAGAATTGTCAATGACAGTTCAGGAAAGCAGCCAGCCTTAGGGAAGCAGAGGAAATGGGTAAGAGGTGTGAGTAGTCCAGTGGATGGGCAAGAAGAAGCAGTGAGTACTAAACAGAAGCAGGCATTATCTGGATGACTACATGTGTCAGGGGGTATGGCAGCAGGTTTTGCAGTATCAGTTGCTATTCTGAACTCAAGTTCTGAAAAGAATAGTGGAAAGAAATGCAGTCTCAGTGTTAGGAAGACCAGGGGATGATCAGTAGAGAGGTTTTGTAGAAACTACTGTGTAAGAAAGAAACAAAATTGCATAGAAGAAGAAGAGCAGAGATAGTAAAAGAAGGATTGATCAAATCTAGGCTTTATATACAAGCAGAGGCTAAACGTTTCAAGCTATGAGGATTTAAAGGTTTTAGGGACAGCGAACATGTTAACTCACTACAAAATAGTATATGCTATTCTATCTGTATGTATAGAGAGATTTCTGACATTTAAAGAAATTGAATATATCACCACATACAAGATAAATGTATTCAAATGCTTTAAAAATAAAAAGGCTGTTAAACTATGAAATTCAATATAATGGATATCAAAAGAAAGCATTATAATGGGAAAAATTCATGAGAAAAATGTAAATGATAAGGGCTCACTATCCAAGCTAAATAAAAAATGAATGCACATCTATCAAGCTAATATTCAGATTCTATTTGATAATTTAACAAAGATGATGAACAAGGAGTTTTCATGATGAGAACCTGAAATAAGATATCATCATGTAAAAGAGGATAAAGCTTCAAATGCAATTAAATGAATACAAATTAAAATGTCATGGAAGTTCCATTGCTTATCTATTAAACTATAAAAACTGCAGTGTACAAAGCCAGTTGCTACTGGGTATTTGAGAAAAATGGGTATTCTTGAACATTGCTAGCAGCACTGTAAATCAATTTAGTTTTGCAAGAAAGTAACACAGAAATATTTGAGAAGAATAAAGAAATCAAACATAATATGGCTTCTAGTAATTCCATTATAGGGAATTTACCCCCAAAAAAAAGTAATCAAGGGGAAAAACAACTTATGCTACAATTTTAATGAACTCATGGAAGTCCACTAAACTATCATCAAAATTAGGAAACAGCTCTAATGTCTTGCAGCAAATATTTTCTAAAGGCACCTAAAGGGAAAATTTTTAAGGAATGGTTTATGTTGTTTTATGTAATTTTAAATGTGAAGCTCCTTTATTCTCATTTTTATTCCCATATATAAAACTATTGCGAAACAAATGAGGTACAAATAGTAGACAATCATGCTTCCAAATCTAAGACTACTTATAATATTTACTAGTTCAGTCTGATTTGGGCAAGCTTTAATTTTCCTAAAACTTTGCCCATACTATCTAGGTTATCGAATTTTCTAGCAAAAGTTGTTCATTGAGATTTATATTTAAATATATTTTGATATAGGTTATTTCACAATTTACATTGGTATTCATGTCTTCCTTGGTTGTCTTCTTGAATAACACTGAGAGAAGTTTAAACATTTCATTTGTCATTTCAAACAATCAACTTTTGGCGAAATTGAATTTCTCTTTTGTTCATTTGTCTCTACTTCATTTCTGATCTTTATTATTTACTTTTTGCTCTATTCCCTGAGTTTAATTTTCTGCTCTTTTCTGACTTTTTGAAAAGATTATTGCTATCCACTTATGTTAATTTTTCTGCCTGTCTTTAAATTTAACTCTAAGCATAGCTTAAAAGTACATCTAACAAGTGTTGAAATATGTTATTCAAATCAAAATATTTACTAAATCACATTATAAATTATTTTGTATTTGATCTATAAATTAAAATATGTTGCTAATTTTACAATCATATCATGATTTTCTAATTATTATTTTGTTGCTTTGTACTTTGAACTCAATAGTGTCAGATAATATACTTAGTATATGTTAAATTCGTTGAAAGTTGTTCATACTTAGTTTGTAAATAGCATATAGGTAACATGGGAAAGATTTCCATCTTCAATTAAAAGATATGCATTCTAGAAATTATAAATGTCCTACTTTATATATACAATGGTAGCAAATGTTTAATAACTGGCTCACCAAAAATCAGGTACCTAGAAACATAGTATTGACCCAATTTCCATGGTATTAAGACCAGGGCCAATTTCAAGCTACAAACATAATATCAATTTATATGAAGCTGGAAAGAATTGTGCAATACAATTCTCACAAGTGAGAATGACCTGGTTCCAGTATATATATATATATATATATATATATATATATATATATATATATATATATATATATATAGAGAGAGAGAGAGAGAGAGAGAGAGAGAGAGAGAGAGAGAGAAAGTTGAAGTATTTGTTATATGGTTCAAAATTCTATTTTCTTATTATTGAAATTCCTACCTTATTGCTTATCAAGAAAATTATGCAAAATACCTCACTATGGTAATATATTAGTAAATCTTCCCTTGAAGTTTAGTCAAATCTGCTTTACATATTTTGAAGCTAAATTATTAGA